GTGTGCTGTGGGGTGCTGGCGGGTGGCTGGTGTGCTGTGGGGTGCTGGCGGGTGGCTGGTGTGCTCTGTGGTGCTGGCGGGTGGCTGGTGTGGGGTGGGGCGCTGGCGGGTGGCTGTTGTGCAGCCCGGTGCTGGTGGGTGACTCTGCAGGCAGGCGCTCTGGTGCTGCCCAGCCAGCACCCTCTGGGAGGGCCTGCCCTTCCTCCCTTCCCTGGGGCATGGTGGACCTGGCTGTACTCTTGAGGGCAAGGAGGCTACTGCACCAGCGCCTCCCGTTCATCCGGACGTCATGGAGTCTGGCCAGGCCCTTGGCTTGCTGTCTGCAGAGGGAAAGCCTTGGGGTACCTAACTGTCATCCCGGAGCCCTGGAGAAAGCGAGGTGTACGTGAGGCATGCCTGGTCAGCTGTCAGCCGCAGTGGGTCTATGGAGTGGAGGGAACAGAGGCGCTCAGGAAGAGGGGACAACGGGAGCACCATCCTCTGCAGAAGGTGGACGAGGTGAAGCAGGCGCGGAGGGTGGACCTCGCCCAGGGAGGTGAGGCGCCCCCAGGACACCCCAGGGGTGCTGGCCAGGTCTCCCTTTCCATAAGAGCAGAGGCATTCAGTTGTCCTGGGCCAGGGGGAATGAACGGAGAGGTAGCAGTGGCGGCAGGCTGTGGCGGTGACAAGAACACCTGACCGGCTGGTGTCAGCAGAAGGGAGAAGGTGGCAGAAACGGAAGGTTAATCTCAGGGTGGACTGAGCTTTGTGGCTTTTTGGAAGGGGGCAGTGACGGAGAAGAGCATCTTGGAAGAGGTCAGGTGTCTGTTGGGTCACTCAGTGGTGGTGTACACGGGTAGCCAGTCCAGTGGCTGGCAGGTGTGGTGCTCGGGAGGAAGAGGGCTCTGCAAAGCATGCTGGGACAGGGGTGCAGCTGCAGTTGGATGTCTAGGAAGCAAGCACCCTGGGCTCTGCGGGAGAATTGTGGCAGTGCTGTGGAAGGTCCCAGAGCCGGTGTCATGTCGCTGAGGCTCCAGAGTGTTGCTCCATTCTGTGCTCGGTGTGTGGGGTGACATGCAGTGTTCTCCCTTTAACCATGCTGCGGCTCCCTGGCTGGCTGTGCCCCAGCTCATCAGGCAGAGCTGCTGTACACTTCCCTGGGACACCCCTGCATGGGGGAAGCCTGTGGAATACAGGCCCCGCCCAGCACGCCAGATACTCTGCTAAACACAGCGTGAGTTGGCGTCCCACGCCAGCCGAAGTTGGGCTTCTGTGGCTGTCTGGTTTGGCACTGTCTGCTCTGTCCATGGGGAGTGGTGTTTATGAAGTGGCTTGCAGACAGGACGCTTCATCGGGTGCAGTATAAAATGCATGCATCCTGCTTTGTGGGGTGCAGCATGAAATGCGTGCATCCTGTGCATCCCTTCCCCTCTGATCATCCACCGACTAAACAAGGCACTTTAGCAATCGGCCTGGACAAAGGCTTATTATTAAATATTATGATAAATATTTTCCAAGGTCATCCAAGCAGAACGTCTGAAACCAGAATGAAATTATTTCTGTTTAATTTTTTTTTTCAATCACAGCTAACTGGAGCTGACTGGAGTGGCTCAGTGTGTTTGGCACTGAAGGACAGAGTTAACTCTTATAAGGAAGATCACCCCGTAATCTGCGGTGGGGACCTATGGGTAAAAGTCATCCTGCCATGGGCAGTGGAGGCCTGTGGGTAAAAATGCCCACCTGCCCTCTGTCTCCTTGACTCCCAGGTGGATGTTTGTGATGAGCGCAGATGTGGAGTTTGACCAGTGGCAGGGGTGGACTGCTGCAGTGGGAGCTGTGGGGATCCCAGCCATTGTGCCTTGGCGGTCTCACCTGTGGAAGGGGTGCCGTGCACTGCCCTGCAGAGCGTGTCCTGAGGACTCAAGGTGTCCGTAGCCTCCTTGCCCTCAAGCTTCTGCAACATGTCAGATGTGTAGAGGATGTCACATGGATAGATTAGGAGCTTATACTCATCTGCAGTGATTGAATCTGCCTACCTAAGTCTTGTGTGTGCCACGCCAGGAACGGATATATATCCAGGCAAGGTATTTCTTAATTGTTGTTTCCACAAAGACATCCTGTAAGGATTCCTATAAGGTGTTTCCCTCCCTGGAGACATTCCTCCAGCCCTGCCTGCCACTCCCTGCATCTGCTAAGATTTCCTGCGTCTCTGAAGTTTAGACTTTTACAAGACGGTTGAAATGGAATCACACATTGTGTGCCTTTTGAGTCTGACTTAGTGTTTTACTTATGCAAGTGCATCTGGTGTGTGTGTGTGTGTGTGTATGTGTGTGTGTGTGAGTGTGGTTTCTTAGGGGAATTTTGGGTTGTTTGTAGTTTTGTTACACATATCATTGCTGAGAATGTCCATAGGCACAGCTTTTTTTCCCCCCACTTCTCCAATGGAAAATACCCAGGGCCACACTGCCTAGTCTTTGACCAAGCAGGTCTCATAGGAAGAAGCTACTAAGTTCTTTTCTAAGGTAGGGTTACCACTGATGCACTCAGGCCCACTGGATGTGTAGACACACATCGCTCTCTTCTAGCTGGTGTCAGTTTTGATAGGCATAGTGGTACATCATTGTGGTTTCCATTTGTGTTTTCCTGAGGTGTGGTACCAAACAGCTTCAGGTGTGTATTTGCATCCTCTTTCTTCCCTAGAGAAGATCTTCAGGTCTTCTGTCTATTTTTCTTCAGTGCAAGAGCTGGTTTCATTATGGAGATTGCATTCTTTCTTCATCTTCTATATGAGCTTTTACCAGGAGCTGATTTGTCGCTAGGGTCTGCTCTTCCATCAGCAAGGCACCTTTTCCAGTCTGAGCTCTTGTTTTGGGTGTTTTCTTTTGCAAACTGTGCAGCTAGGTTCGTACCTGAGAAATCTTTGCTTGGCCTGAAGTTCACAAATGTTTTCTTCTATAAGTATTGTACTCCTGAATTATTCATTTGAGACCTAGCATGTATTTAAAATGAACATTTGTGCAGTGTGTGAGTTAGGGAATGGAAGTTGTTTGGCAGTGGTGTTAGGAGACTGGGAGCATGTATGTTCAGGGTGGTGTTCACAAAGTTGGTTTCTGGCCACCTGCTTCTGGAGAGCAGTGTTATCCATTGTTTATATAAGAGGCATCGTGTTCCGCTGTGTCTCAAGTGTCATCTTGCTCTGTTTTCCCTTTGATTCTGAGCTTTTCTGCAATCCCTTGAAGGGCTTGGTGTGAGCCACGTGCTTTTTAGGGGGATAGAGCTAATCCTGAACAGGAGTCGCCCAGGGTCACAGATAGAACATGTAATATCAGGAATGCTACCCAACAGATAGACCAAAAGGCTTGGAGTCTCTGACTTCCCTCAAAGTGAATTTCCTTTGCTTAGCTCACTCATGGCTGCGAACAAGAGCAAAGTAATTAATACCTCCATCACAGTTTATCTCCCAGCTAACGACTCCACAGGAGTTCTGTTAGCATTAGCAACAAAATATACAAGGGTCCTGGTATTACTCAGTGCCTGACAGTCCACTGAATCTATCACTGCCATTACTCTCTGAGGGAGAAGCTGGAACTATGAGTGTAGGAGGTATGTTTACTAAAGAACATAATGGGGATACACAGGTACAGGAAAACACTTTTTAGGACTATCACAAAAACCGTCCATTTTAATTGTTGCTGTCAATGTAATATAAGAGGAATGCTGTAGAGAACAGGCCTTTATTTTGTAATGTGAGGCTTCAAGGAGACAGACTGCATACCGGCTCAACCTCCTTGCTCTACAGGTGATAAATGTTAGTTTCCATTAATTATTATGTGTCAACACAACTCTCTAAGAAAAGACCATTTTCTTGGATCAGACCTTTCCTTTGCTGTCTTTCTGTTGCGGTTAGCCCTCAAAGCAACACTTCTCTTTTTGTTTGCCTCTGGTTCTTCATTGGAATTTGGAGTTTTCATTGGCATTTGTCAACCTGCTCAGCCTCCTTCTTTGTTCTGGTCTGCAGGGAGCAGCACTGAAGTACTTGCCCACGATTGTCAATGATGTGAAGTTGGTGTTTGATCCCAAGGAGCTCAGGTAAGTAGCTTGGGGCTGGGGAGGGGGCACAATATTGTCAGCCGCAGTGAGCCATGCTGGAACATAGGACTGCCTGAGATCTGTGTTATGACCACATTGGTCGGTGTTTGGATCATTCCAGAATGCACACTGCTGCTGTTTCAGTGACACCTTGCTCCATGTGACTTTCTTTGGAAAAGCTGTCACCTGTCCACAGAGTGACATTTGCGGAGGAAGGTTGTTACCTGGTGGGGATGTGACATAACCTTGGCATTTTGCATACTTTAGGATTTGGATTTCAACATGTGGGTGCTGGGGTTTAAGTCTCCAGCATCTGGAGAATGTACGTAAAGCCTTCCCAGTCCCCGGTCAGCCCCTTTGCTGTGTAGCTATGCACAGCTTCTCATTGGGTACTCTGGAATGAGAGCTGGGACCTTCATGCACAGTGCCCAGAAGTTCTCATCTTGGGGAATGCTAAAATCCAAGCTCCCTGACACGTGCTGTGAGGAAGGTGGGTACTAGGCTTTCTGGCTGGGAAGTGAAGCTGGGACCCAAGTCTCCATTATATCACAGGGAGCCATGTCTCCCCCCAGGGACTCCCTTGTAGTTCAGAATAGCATGGTGGGTCCTTATCTATTTTGGTTTGTTGGTTTTTCCCTTGGCTTTGATTTGACGTAATGAATGACTTTCAGGGGCAGATAAGTGGCACCAGTTGTATCAGCCCTTAAAATCTCCCAAATAGAATAAGTGCCCCTCTGCCCCTTAGTGGCTAGCTAGATTAAAGACAGCCATCTTTCTGGCCTCTCTCTTGTTCTGGAACTGAGGGATGGAGGCATCTAGGGAGGTGCTGACTCAGGTCCAGTGAACAGTGGGGACACAGTTATTTCCTTCTTCCGGGGGTACTTAGCATGTGGTTATGGCTTAGTGTGTCACACACAATGGAGACACAGTTATTTCCTTCTCCTGGGGGTACTTAGCATGTGGTTATGGCGTAGTGTGGCACACAATGGAAGGAGGAAGTGATGGGCCCAGGGCAATGTGCACACTCTGTTCTTTCCAGATGGTTCTTAAAAAGTAGTCCTCAAACAGCAGCCTGAGTGACCCCTGGGAACGTGTTAGAATGTTCCGCCCCATGTGCTTCCCTGGAGTAGAAATGATGGCTCACATCTTTGCTCTTACGGAGCCCTCCGGGCATTCCTGGTGCACATATGGTAAGCTCAGAGATGGATGGAGCCGTGGTCTGGTCATTGTCCTCACTGGGCACCGGTGGCCACCCCTGGCCCACAGAGGCTGCCATCAACACTCACTAACTGACAGGAGCTTCAAGAAGACCTGCTTTTCCACACTCCCGCTCTTGTTCTGGGAGCTTGCGTATCCCTCTCCAGTGCCTTTTGTACTGACTTTGCCAGGGACCATAAACATCATGCAAATATATGTTCCTATTGAGAAAACACATTCACAGTTTTATAAAACATGACCACCAAATAACCACACACACACACACACACACACACACACACACACACACACACACACACACACACACACACACACACACACACACACTCATCCTCAAGATCAGCCTTGTTTTCTTTGTGACCAGATCCTTCATTTAAGACATGTTGTTTTCTATGATGTCATGGCATCCTCTTCAGCATTATAATTTTCAGCATCTTTCATAGTGGGTCATTTGGTCCTGTTCATTGTTTATGTCAGCTGAGCTCTCTCCAAGCCCTCTCCCTGTGATAGTCAATTAATCTTTACTACAGTGGCACAACACTGGCCCTATTATTAGTCTAATTTTGCTTGACCGTGATAACTCAATGGCTGTTTGGCACTGGTTCAAGGCCAACTTGGCTTTCTGATTACGAAGAATGGGGCTGTAGTCTTTAAGCTACTTGAGAGGTCTTGGGTTGTGCCAATTACAAAGTATAGTGGGATAAACTTTCCTGTGACTTAATTGTAGAACACACCCCAGTTGTCATTAGAAATGTTAAACAAGTGGAATTACTTGGTCCTGTGTTTTCTTAAAAGCTTCTAAAAACTAAGTGTTACCCAGTGACCTTCTGAGAGGTCAAATGAGCATTCTGCCCGTACATTGTCATGTCAGTTTTCCCGGGTGCCCCCACCATATGACTTAGCATTTCATAGAAACTGCATTTTGGCCAAAGAACAGTATCTCATCATACCTCCAATGCACATTTTCATTACATTCCTTCATATGTCAGTTGTCTGTTTATAAAAATAAAAAAAATTAAACATGTTATTTCCATGCTATGGAAATAATGCCTGTTTTGGAGTGTTCCGTTCCATGATTTTTTAATTTGCTTACATAACTGTGCCACCATCGCCACAGAGTCCAATTCTGTAGAATCTATACCACTCCCATGAGACCCCTTGTGCCATTTCCTAGTCATTTCCCATCCCCTGCCTTAGGCACTGGGTTTATCTCTTCTGCTCCTTTCATAGAAATAGAGCCAGCAGTGCTGAGCCTTTACTTATTGTGTTTTCAAGGTTCATCTGCGTCGTGGCAAGGATCAAGTCCCCCCTTTCCTTTGGATGAGCTGTGGGATTGGTTGTGTAGCATTTTGTATTGCCATTCAACAGTTGATGGATGCCAGTGCCTTTTGAGTGCTATGAATCACGTTACCTTGTCATGTACAAAGAGACGCATCCTTTCTCTCCACCTTCTCCTATTCCCTCTTTCTTCTATTTTTCTTTTTCTCTCCCTTTTAACATCCTGCCCCTCCTCCTCCCATTCCTCCTTCTCTGCCCTACTTCCCTCAGTCCTCCCTCCCTACCTTCTCTTCCTGCCTCCCCCTCCTCCTTCCCTCCCTGCCACCTTTTCTTCCCTCTCTCCTTCTTTTACTTCCTCCTTTCCAAGAAGAGGAATTGCAGAGTCCTGAGTAACTGCGTGTAACTTTTTGTGGATGTGCCTGACTGTTTTCCACAGTGTCTACACAGTGTTTACACTCCCAGCCTCATGGTAGGAAATACTCACCAACACTTGTTACTGCCTCTCATTTGAGAGATGTGACTATTTTTAGTGGTTATGAAGTAAAACCAACATTTTTTTTCACGGCCGTGCCTTTTGCATGCTTGAATCTGAAGCTTTCCACTTGGGTTTTCTTGTAGCAAGATGTTCACCGACTTCATCCTCAACGTCCCCACGGGCTTGCTTACCATCCAGAAGCTCTACTGCCTGATCGAAATCGTTCACAGTGACCTCTTTACACAACATGGTGAGTGGAACGCTGAAGACCATTAAATTGTCCCATCATTCATTGTGTGCAGGTGTGACCCCTCTCCTGCTCACCCCACAGAGCGGAGGCTGTCCCAGTGAGAACAGCTCCCTCACCAGACAGGGAGCTGGAGCCCTGCAAGAGAATAGTAATTGACCTGTGAGGTAGGTAATAGATCATTGACAAAGAGAGGCACAGGCTTGTGGTTTGTAATTTAAGTGCAGCACCTGAGCCCTGGTCCAATCAGCATACATTGTAGCCCTTAAAGTGTGTGATTGTCTCTCCTGGGGAGGCAATCACTTGCTGCCATCAAGATGATTGCAATGAAAAAAATTCAAGTTTCCTTGAAATGTTCCAGGAATGGTCTTCCCTCTCAGGAAGTTGGTGTGCTTTGGCAGGGTTTTCTGGAGCCCACTCAGAGCAATACAGATGGTAATGACTCCCAAAGTCATTCATCCCCTGCATCGCCTTGTATTCCCCTCCATTATCTTCCCATCCTTTTCATTAATCATTTCCTCTATTTGGACAGATTGAATTAGTATTTTACACCTGTCAAGCAGTCTTATTGAAAGCTTAAAACCTTTGCATAATTCTTCAACCTTCCTCTTCACTGCCCTGAGTGGAGTAACATTCTGGCTGGGCAGCGTGGGTGTATTCTCCTCCACCTGGGTCTGGGCCATGGGTCTCTCCCTTCATTCCCTTCTGTCCTCAGGTATGGTGCTGCTGTGGTGCTTGCCCTGTGCTGCTTCGACGGGTAAGCTGGCCAGATGGGCCTGCCCCGGTCAGAAACAACTGGCTCTACAGAGCTCACCGTGCATCCAGCCAGGTCCCTAATGTCTCCTGGGCTTCTGGACTGGGTTCTCTGGCTGGTTTAAGTTAGTGAACTGCACTGGAATGGACACTGGTTAATGAGGCTTAAGTCGAGAGAAAATGTGCAGGATTCTTCTGGGAGTGAGTGTGCTCTACAGAGAAATAGTGACCCAGGAACCCCGTAACCTTCTGAAGCCACCATTCTGTCTCAGAGGCCTGTTTCTTGTTTTTCCAAAAGAAAATCAAGGCTCTCACAGTCTGGGACTTAAAGCACAGGAATCAAAGCGTATCGTTAGATTAAAAGGAAAATAAAATCCTAGCTACTCAGGAGGATCCTAGTTTGAAGCCAGCACTGGCAGGAAAGACTATGAGACTCTTAGGTCCAATTAACCAACAAAAAGCTGAGAGGAGAGCTGTGGCTCAAATGATAGAGTGCCAGCCTTGAGCAAAAAAGTTAAGGGACAGCTCCCAGACCCCGAGTTCCAGTCCCAAGAAAAGAAATAGATACGTAAAAGGAGCTATTAGTCTCTAACTGCCCACAGTTTTCTCTTGAGGCCGAGGCTTGATTTGCTTGCTGCCCGGGTGTTTGCCAAGGCCTGGGCCCAGAACATGTGTTTCGGCTGATACGTGGGACAGTGTTGCTCCACGCTGACTACGCTCTCTACCAGGGAAGTAAGAGCCAATAGAAGGTTTATAGTTAAGTCTTACTAGAACCATGGTTGATGTTACACCTCCCAGCCAATGCCAATGCCAATGCGACCCCCCCCTACACACATACACCAATCCCAACCATCATCAGTATCTTCACTGGGTTAATACCTGTTGCCAACTTTAAAAAAAAAAGCCAGGCATGGTGGCTCATGCCTGAATCTCTTCTACTCAGGAGGCAAAGATGAGGAGAATCAATGTTTGAGGCCAGCTAGGCAATAGAGTTAACAGGACCCCATCACAACAAATAAGCCAGGCATGGTTCAGTCCACAGGCAAGAGAATATGAGAGACCCTATCTGAAAAAATGACTAAAGCAAAAAAAAAAAAAAAGCGTGGGGATATGGCTCCCGTTGCAGTGTATCTGCTCAGGATACCCAAGGCCCTAGTTCAAATCCCATACAGCCAAAAAAAAATAAACTCAAAGAAATTGGTTAAGAATCACAAATTTTAGTTGGGAAAAGGAAAGCACTGGAAGGGAACTGTGGCAATGCTCATCCTGTCATGGCCCAGCCAGCTTATTCAAAGGGGCTGGGGACTCTTATATGATAATCCTTTGCTGCACTGGCTAGTACCAAGAGGCTTCAGTCCCACGGTTGCTGGGCAGATGTCCCATGGCAAGACCTGCGGTACAAGGTTGCAGTGTGGAGGTATAGGTGTGCGGTCCCGCAGTCTTCCGACCATCCCTGCCAGGCAGTCCCGTGTGAGAACTCCTCCATAGCTTTCATTCAGGTTCTTTTCATCATTCAGGCTCTTTCTGTCCTACAGGTAAGAGGTATCACCTTAATGCTCAGACCAGTTATTGTCTTAGGATGTGTACTTCTGCAGTTTTTGATAACAATAGGTACAAATATTAAAAAGGAAAAAAAGAACAAAATTATTAAGAGCCCAAGAGAGTCTATGAAAGTCTGAACTGAAATACATAATTTTCCTTTATAGCTACACTAATTTTTACTGAAGATTATCAAACCAATGCAGTGTATTTATAAGATGAACTTACTTTGACCTGAACATTATTTTCAAGAGTCTGTAGTGATTTTCACTTTGATGATGTTGATTTCAAGTATTTTAGAAGAACTAAAACTATGTATAGCAAAACATAGTCAAAAATTTTGGTGAGTGCCATTGAGAAAATAATTTAGTTATTTTTTATTATGGGAAACATTGTAAGGTAAGAATGATAACCAACAGCATTTTACCAAGGCTCCTTTAAATTTTATATGATGTTTAGAACATTTACATTAATAATGTCGGCAGAAAGTTCTCCTCCAGCATCCTGGAGTCTGGCATCTGCTTCTTAATGGACCCACAGTGTTCTCCATGCTTTCTAGTTCTGTACCCACTTGAGTTATTTTTCTCCAGACCAGTGTGGCTATGCCTCCCAGTTCAGAGACTTCAAAGCACTGGGTCTGGGTTTGCAGCCAGTCTCCAAGATCGCACCTTTGGGTCTACATTGAATGTGGTGCCATGCTGTTCCAAGGACTTTTTTGACCTGCTGGTTGCTCCTGTTGATTGGAAAGTGCTCATGTGGAGCGAGCTAGGGGCCCCAAAAGCAGGACTTGCACTTGCTGAATTCTCTACTGCCTGCCCCCAAACTCTGCTTGATAGGCACACGCCTCTTCAGCTCTGTGTAGTGTCATCTGGCGTGTTCAGGAGATCCTGGTGTAATTGGGTTGACTCTGTCACAAGTGCTGGTCCTTCGCTGTTCTACAGGATGTATGTTAGAATCTGGTGTCTCTGTGAGACGAGATACTGGCTTCCTCAGCTGTTGTCTTCCTATGAGGCTAGGGTTTTGATCTTACTAATAAACCATCCTCAGTGTAATAAATAAGATGGTGTGGAATACATGAATTGAAACTTGTCATGGGATTAGAGAACCATAATTAGTTTACAGCATCATATGTCATATGCAGGCAGCCCCAGAATCATCTGATCCAGTAACAGTGATCTGAGCTACGATTGGGTGTCCAAATGTGCTTCTGAAAACATAGTGGCAGTCTGGGATCCTTACAGAATGCTTTGGTCAGTTGAAAGTGATCCCCTCTGAAGGCTTTGAGTCTTTCTGGTAGGAGTAGCAAAGATGACCCCACTTTTTCTCAACTGCAAGCTCTGCTTCTTCAGACCTGTCTTAGCTCCTTGTCAGGACAGATTTGTCAGCTGAAATCTTCTGGTTGGTCTGCTCTTACCAAGATGCCATTACTTCTGCAAAGTATTCTGTGCTTCGTTTTTATAAATATTTAAAGCTGAGCCTTTTTCTAATGAGATATGATAGCTGTGTGTTCCATACGTCTTGTTAATTTGTGAAAAATATAGTTGTCTTTGTCCTGTTTCCTGATCCCAGTAGAATCAGTCAAATCAGCTCTACATGTGTCTAGATTTTTAGGACTCAATTTAGCAGGTCTAGCTGCATGTGGCACTGACTGAGCCCCCGTGGGGAGTGGATAAAATGCAGCCTGTGCAAACCTTCGGCGTCTCCCCATGTGGGCTCCCTCTCCTCTTACTGAAAGACCCCCCTTCCTTGACGCATTGGTTAACCTTCTTCACCCAGAATAAAATCAGCCTTGTTGAGAACAACGAACTGGTATTTGGAGGTCTTCAAGATGGCAATGTTGGAAACACAGATTCTGGAATCCTTAAAAATGGGCTCTAATTGTTACATAATGGGGGCCATATAATAGATTTATGCCCAGGATTGTGCTTTACAGAGCTTGTTTGTCAGGGATTGTGATTTGTGCTGTCTTGCAAGGAGTGGACGGTCTTATCGTCGGCATAGCGTGGGGGAGGAGTCTGTTGTACAGACTGGAGGTCAACAGAAGTGAACTGGGTTTCTGGAGAATGAAGGGTAGCACAGTCCTAACGTCAGTACACCTGGGTCCAGGGTCAGCACACTGGGGAAGCATGCCTGTGACTGGGAGGGCCGGGGTGTGCACGACTGCAGCCATTTCCAAAGGCTCAACCATGGGTGTGTCAGAGACCAGATCTAGCAAAGCCTCTGGCTGCATTTGATGTGCCCTGCACCCATGCTAGGCCATGGTGATTTTCTCCTTGGTACCATCTCTTGTGATAGAAGGCCACTCTCTGGCTTCCAGCATCCCCCTCCTATGGGAATGGGCAGTGCATCCTGACATAAGCCAGCCCTTGCCATGTCCAGGTTCCCTGTCCAACATTGTTTCCTGCTTGTGCGCATCCTATTTCCCCGCTTTAAGGCATAGTAACAGATGGTTTGTCACTGGAGTTGGTTGGGCTACAGCAGGAGATGTGCTATCAGCACAGATGTTGGGTTGGGTTCTAGTCTGTATGGAACTGACCCCATGAGTCCTGACACTACCAACCTCTGCCCACAGAGAAGCCCAGCCCTCCTCTCCTCTCTGATCTGTCCCAGCTCAAAGATGGCATGAGTCTATCCACCAGGCAGGGTATAGATTTTGCCTTCCTCTGTCTGTCAGTTTAAACTTCAATACAGACACACCCAGACATGTTTCA